GTGATCTACAGTAGCTAAATTCATTGGTGAGTTTTGTTTTTTATATTTCTCTGTTCCTTCCAGGAGAAGACTCCACCTGGCACGGTTTTCCAGACATCATATGTTCCTCACAGTCAGCTGCTGTTGTATCTAGAAGTGAATCACAGGGTATGTGGAGACTCTGCGAAAAATCTCATGACGAAGTAACCCTTCACACCATTATTGAGTAATATATTAAATTCTTTTTTATACGCCCGTCTTAAGACGGGACGTATTATGTTATAGGCTTCATGTCCGTCCGTCCGTCTGTCCACTCGTGTCCGGCTCATAACTTCAATACTAATAGGCCTAGGACTATCAAACTTTGTCAACTGGTACTTCTTGGGTAGACGGTGTGTCGCGCACAAAAAGTAGGTCACTCTGACCTTTAATAAAGATGCTATGGCCAAATAAGGAAAAATCCTGTCCGGCTCATAACTAGAAAACTATTAGACCTAGAGCTATCAAACTTGGCAAAAATATACATCTTAGGTAGAAGGTGTGTCGCGGCCTATTTCAAGGTCACTTTGACTTTTAATTTATGTGAAATTTTTTAAAAAACTAATTCTTTTAAATTTACAATTTCATAATTCTAAAAAATGTAAAATTATAGTTGTATCCTTGTTAAAAAATGTTAAATCAAGTAAAAAACTTATTTTTTCATCATATACTTTACAGCAATCTGTAAGAAATGTTTAATGTAATTAGAGGAATGCAGTTTGTCCCATGGGCATAATTAACAAGCACTGGTCAAGAAGAATTTTGATAGCAGAATTGTGTATGTCAAAGTAGAGAGAAATTAATGAGTTTATTGTCAAGAGCTAACTGGAAGACCATCTCTGACCATGCAGCTGTTGTCTCTTGGGAGTTGGGCAAAAAGAAATGGCCTCATAGTTGCTTGTGTCAATTAAGAGTTCTTGATGGCTAGTTCAGATAAAGATCTTTCAGTTAGTTATTTGGTGTAATGTAATTAAAACAAATTGATGTTTTAAAATACAGTATATGATTAAAACTAAATTAATATCGTATGATATAATAAAAACTAATTATACATATTTACATTGAAAAAAAAATACATTTCAATTTTTATATATTTGCAACAAATTGCAGAGTGCCATGTCTTATAAAATTTTATAGTCTAAAGAATAATTTCTATTTGATATTTTTTAGACTGTAGCATTTTTAATCAATCATAAAATATGCAATAAAAAAAGCAGCAGATGGATATTTGTTAAGCTCTAACTCAGCCAGTTTAGAATTATGTGATGTATTATATTTCTTATAATTATTGCCTACACTCTTAGAGATGTATGTACAATAAGTATGATAAGGAATTAATGGAAATTAGATCATTGAAATCAGTGTCAATCTTGTAATCTTGAACTTGGTAATCAAAGTTACCTGATTTTCTTGCACTCTAATTACCAATTTATGATCATTATTGAACAATATTTGACGGGCGTATCATGCTGTGGCGGGGCACTTTATTTAAAGGTGTGTGTGTGTGTGGGGGGGGGGGGGGGGGGGGGGGGTTGCGGGGGTTGATCAAATCTGGTCCAGTAATGTGTGGTGTATGAGTGGGTATTTAAAATGGGGGATGAAGGGGGAGATAATCTGACAAAATTCTTTGGTAGGTGGAATGAGTCACATCATGTACTACAATGTACCTGTGCATCTACACAGCTAAATACAAATGGCAAATGGAAGTGCTTCCCACCGAGTTTATAATTATTATATACACAATTTTTAAACATGATAAACAATGTACAATTTTGGGATTTAACATTGTATAATCCAAAGTCAGTATAATGTGTTTGTCTTTTTCATAAATGTATGTTTGAATTAAATAAAGTTGTTGATATTTTTTAAATCTGTTGTAGTTGATGAAAAAGATTGCCAAGGAGAAGAAAAGACATTTTGTGAAACGAGACTAAACATCAATGCAGGAGTTGAAAATCAGGTCATTTCCCAGACAATAGTTTTCTCATTCATCCAAAGGAAACTATATCCACATTTACAGAACTTTCTGATACCAAACCTCCTGATTTCCCCACTTCATTACAGGATTTTAATGTATGATTCTCTCAATGACATCTTAATCTGCAGTGTGCAACTCCCGATCTTCCAAGACGAAGAGAAACCCAGAAAACTGAACATTGCCTCCGTGGTTTTCCTCTGGATGGTTTTGCATTACAGATTATTCTGTGTAGGAATTGACGTTAAAGCCGTACTGGAATATGGATCTATAAAAGACATTAAAGAAATTCAGTCACAGTTCCCAGATAGGGCGGGGGATAAATTACCACTGTATACAGGCTGTTGTAGAATCGGTGTCTCAGAGTTTACCCCTGTGTCTGAGGAAGATCTCCCATCTTATGACAATTTTCTGTATGGTAAAAGATTGTTTAAGTCTCGGAGATTGTTACATGCCTTGAACAACAAACAAGACTAAAGTTTGTACAATGTTGTTTTGTTTTTTTTTTAATGAGAGTAAGAGTAAACTGTAAGAACATGTTGAAGTTGATTATTCAATTAGTACATGTACAGTGTAGATTAAGTTTTCATTTCCACAATATGTGTTCAAACCATAAACAAGCTTAAATATTACAATTTAATACCAAAAAAAAAGACAAAATCCAATGAATATTTCAGAACTTTAATTATATTTTGTTTTAATTAACTATTTTCAATTGTTTCATGTTCTATTTAAATATATATATGATGTTTAACATGTTTAAGGCATATTTAAAGTGACACTCTCTTTTTATAAAGTCTCTTTTGAATACAAAGAATCAATGTATATTATTGTTTAATAATCTTGTACATGTCATAATTTAACATTTGTCATGTTTAAGTTTTTAAAAAAAAATAAGAAAATAAACTCTTTCAAAGTTCTTTAAATACATTGTGTAAAACATTATGTGTTTCCCTTTTAAGCTCACCTGAACTGAAAAATCGAGTGAGATTTTTTAATCATAAAAATAAGATCTGTCATTTATTGTTTTTCTAAAAACCACTGGGCCAATTTCAAACAAACTTGTCATAAAGCAGCCTTTGGTCACTTAGGGGATTAGAAATTTTAGTGGCATCATTTAAAAAAATTATAAATAATCTTCTTCTAGAGAACCACTATATGAAAAGAGTTGAAACTAATGTGAAAACTTGTTTACATTGTGTAATTTCAAATTTGTCCCAATATGACAAATCATGGGGTAGGGTGAGCCTGCCAGGAGGATCCAAGTTTTACATAGGGATATATGTAGGAAAACAAAAGCCCAATCTAATTAAAATTAGACTAGTACATGTATTTTCGCTCCTCTACTAGGCCTATACGCTTCAATTAATAACTTTTTGTGATGACAAAATAGTCGGGAACACGTTTATTTCAACCCCCCCCCCTTCCCGCCTTTTCCCTTTCTTCCCTAAGCCTGTTTCCCTGGCCTTCCCATAATGCTGCGCAGTATTATGGGAAGGCCAGGGAAACGAGTTATGTCCAAGACACGATGTAGTTACGATATCGACACATTACTTTTTTATGGTTTACTATAATAGTTCTATATTCTCATGTGTTTATTACAATTCTTTTTGTTTTAAGACTATTTCCTTACTGTTAATATCCTCGATATCGTGCTGATATCGAATCATGATTGCTCTAAGAATTGTGATTTCCATCCTTAATATGGTGTTTTTAACAATTTTTACTTAAAAATTTCTTCATAAATCTTTCCCGTGTGTAGATATCGTTGATATCGACGATATCGCTTCGATATCGAATCATGTTTGCTCAGCTCTTGGTAAATACCTTCCCTGTTTCTTTGAATGTGTTTATGTTTAAATACTTTACTTTTACGAAGATTTTACCTGCCATCGATATCGTCGATATCGACGATATCGTATTGATATCAAATCATGATTGTTAAGAGCATATTACTTTACCACTCTTCATCCTAAGACAAAAACTTTATTTTTACATCACTTCTGTGTTTAAAAAGTTTACCTTACTGTCGATATCGAATCATGATTGTTAAAACATTTTCAAGAATTTTCACACTAATCCAACATATTACTCTTAATCTAATCTAAAACAATAACAACCCTAAAATTTTCTTTATCATATTAATTTATTAATTTTTATATTCAATAAGGAATCAATTTGGACTTCACTTGTGACTTTCTAAAATTATGTTATACCTCAATGTGAAAATAAATTGTGCAAATAGGATCGATATCGATACGATGTCGTCATGATATTGTCGATATCGACGACATCGACATAATATATAGTCTCAAATACAGCACCAGGTATTTCCAATTAATAGTGCTGATTACGATCGATATCGATACGATATCGACATAATATTGTCGATATCGACATTGGATTTGTTCTTGGACATGTATGAGGGAAACAGGCTATTTTTTCCCTCAACAGCGGACCCAGGCGGTAGAAACCCTGGGCAAAACATGTACGATGGCTGTATTTGCGAGGAGGTGTGGAGTATATACACATGTATTTGAGGAAACGTGTGCTTATAACACAAGCACAATAACAATTTATTGAAAAGTTAGAAAATTATACATTCTTTCTTCTAACGAATTTTGTATAATTTATTGTTTTGTTTCGAACATAGACGTCGGAACCCGGGGGAGAGGGAGGGGGTAGGCAGACTTAGCCCCCCCCCGCACTTTGTTTGCAAAGGTGGACATTATATAGACTTTGAATAATCTTTCCCCCACTTTAAACAGGCACGTTGCAGTTTGGGTAAAAGAAAGGTATGTGGTAATATTTGGATAAAAAAAATGTACTGAAAGAAATCCCCCTCCCCCTTCTACGAAATAAGATTCTCTTGCTTGGATAATAGACCAATGGACACATTTTCCTCTCTTTGCTGGTCAAATTTTTTTTTTCTAGGTCTGATTTTTTTTTCTCTTTTACTCCCCCCCCCCTTTTTCAATTCAATCGCTTCCGACGCATATTTTGAACATATTATTACGCAGTTACACGTAATCAAAAGGTCTAACATCTTACTTACTCCCCTTTCTATATATAACATGCCATGCAAATGATACATTTATAAATTTAAAATATATGTTCAAGTGACTGTCCCAGAATAAAAGAAGTGACTGCATGGAATAAAACACGTCAATCAAAAATAAATTTATGGACATTAGGCATCAGCAACAATATTATTATAAGTTAATACAGGAAAATCTTTATCACCCCATAATAACAGATTTATGCAACATTTCAGGCAAAAACTGGTGGTTGAAATGATTGTTTCTTGAATTTACATAATTTTACGCACACCAAAAATGATGATAAGTCACACATTTTCAATCTATCCATACGAACAAAGAGGATGCATGCTGATAATATTGCGTTTATAAAAAGATTATATAATAAAGTAAACAAATGTGTCTTATTTTTGCACGAATTAGAAGACTCAATGTAGTTTGCGAAGCGTTTGGAGAAAAAAAAATGCGTTGGTGGATTAATATTTTACATATACATGATATACTAGGTCTTAATATAAAATTTTTACTGAATAAATTAATTGAAACATTTTCTATATCAGTATTTCAATTTAATTATCTTTTTTGGAAAAAAACTTAAAAATTGAATGTTTTAACATTCCTCAAGTAGCATAATTGGTAATCTGTTTGGGGAAAGGGTCAAAGGAATTTCAGCATCGAATATTTCAAAAATCGAGATTATCATTTTAAGTAAGCCTTTTATAAATTTATTCAATTTGTTTTTTTTAAACACATCTACTAATATTTTAAAATATTTTCTAATTCTTTTTCTGTGTGATTTTTTAGAAAAGAAATTATTAAATGGTGCAGAAACAGTGGAGAACATTTTTACAATATTGCTTATCGACGCAATTCAAAAAAAATATTCGGGTCGGGCTCGAAATTACTGTTTTGACAGAAAGAGCAAAATGGCGGTTATAGAACAAAAAAGACCAAACATGTTTTTATAATTATTTTTTCGCGTTTGGATCCAAAATTAAAGGAGCATTAACGTTAAAGGTAGGTCGTTTAAGTGAAACTAGAGTTTATTTAAAATGAAACGTAGAACAATAATTTCTCTTGGATTGTCTTTGTTGAACTATGACTCACGGAAGAGCCAGTTGAACGATGTCTAATTATCTCTAGTATCTTTTGCTTTTCCTGATTATCACATGATTAGTCACTCACGTTAAATATGTCATGTACCACTAGAAACTCAATACATTTACAATAAATTGATACACTGATAAAAAACATCTGAACATGCTGAACAATTATTTTATTTTCATTGTTTATACAGGTATGTACTATGGTACACCTGTATACACAGTCAATGTATGTATTTCCTATTTTTTTCTTCTTAAAAATAATGCATTCATTGAATAAGATCTGGTGGTAGCTTGTATAAAATGTAAATCAATGTAAATAGCAGTATGCAATAGTTTACTACGCATGCAAATATTTGTTTTTTTTGTCTTGAATAATAATTATATTTTAGTCCCTTGAAAGGCAAACATAAGTTCACATGACTATATAAAAGGAGTTTTAACTGAAATGCAATATAATTATAATTCTGAGTTTCTGGGCTTAAAAAAATCTATCAAGAGAGAGAGAAAAAATAGTAGTGTCGAAAAATGATTAATTCATTAATAAATGAATTTATAATAATAAAGAATAAAGAAGAATAAATTAATATGTTTGATGTATACAGAGCTCCAGATAATTTTTTACCCTAAAGTGTATTTACTCCCTGATTTTAAAATCAATGCAGATTTTGAGCAAAATGATTGAAGAGTATTTTGTTAATGTACAAATGTTTTGACCTTTATTTTGATTTTGAGCTAATCGAAATACAAGGCAGTGTTTTTGAAGAGGTAAAAAACTACAAAGGTCAGTTCCTGCAATCATTTAAATAAATTTTGAAAAAACTATTGAACAAGAGGTTTTGTTTAAATTGGGAAGCATTCCTTTTGAAACTTAGGAAGATAATCCAGTAGGTCAAGGTACCATAGAGTCAGAGACAGAGAAAACTTTTCCTCCTTTCAAGATGATACCGTATCAAGAGTAAACTGAGAGAAAAGAATCACCGTTAATATGGAAAGTTGAGAGAAATGAAATATTGGCTATTAACCTATAAAAAAAGTTATGACTTGTGCATAATCTTTCTATTAAAAGTATTATAAAAATTGATTTTAATCTAAATCTTCCTCTAATTAATCAAATCTAATCCTTCCTCCTGAGATGGAGATCGTCATCAACATTACTAGAATATTCCTGGTCACTAAAAGGCTTTTAAATCTGTACTTTTTTGAAAAAAGAAAACACTGAGTTTACCTCAATTCATATCATTAAGTAAGTCATACCTGTATTCTTCAACCTACTGTACGCAGTACTTTCATGGTGAAATGCTTATCTACGATTGCTAATGCGTAATTGTATGCCCTGTTTTAATTTTCAATGCATATTTTGTAAAATTTAATGTGTAATTCTGCAACATGTGCAAATACGCACCTTATCTGGAGCTCTGTGTATATATGATGAAACTATGGAAGCTAGGGCAAACACAGTTTATTTTTAAGCAATTCTGCACACTTTCTCAAATGCATGTTGTTTTACGTTCTGCTTATAACACTGTTGAGTAAACTCCTTTAGCCTGCGTTTACTGGGTATCATTCATTAAAGAAAAAAAAGTTATATTTGAAACTTTCCAGACTCCTATGCATTTAAATTGAGGTG